ACCAAATATAGACTAATAAAATGTTATTTCTGGTTCTTGTATATACCATGTATTTTAATAATAAATAAAAACCACTACTACAGTGCTCTTTGCTAGGTACTTTTGTTTTTATCTTATTTTATTCACAAAACAGCCTGAGAGCTAAGAATTACTCAATAAATCAAACAACTGAGGCTCATGATCACCTTGTAGTAAACGGCTAAGATAGGATTGGAATGTTGAATGTTGAAATACATAACTACTATATGATATTATTGATGGCACAGATGAGAAATGAAAAAAAAAAAATCAAAGAGTTGTTTACAGCATTTATAAAAGCGCTCCACACAGTGCTAGCATCCATAAACTATTTGCTTAATGCTTCATTGAACATTTCTTAATCTTCACATGTGATGTATTAAGTATCAAGATAGAAGTACAAACAAAAAGTTACTATAAAAATACGGGGCAAAATATTTAAAGTGCTTATATCTCCATGTTTTTGAAAATGACAGTTTTTTGGGTTTTCTTTTTTCTTCTCTTACTGTGAACCGTCTCATGTGGCCAGATAGCTATTTTTCAATAGACTGTTTTTGTCACTGTCTTTAGGGGGCAAATTCTTCACTGAGGAGGGTGGAGAAACTATTAAAACAGATAAAAGACTGCAAAACTATTTGTTGTCCAAAAGAAAGAGCCTAAGACTTCCAGTCCAGAGACCTAGTTCTATTTGCACCTTTGCCCAAATGTGTGTGACTCTGTGATCCCAAAGAAGAACTTTGACAAAGGGCCGAAATCCATTAAATGGGGAAGAGATTGTTTGTTTAACAAATGGTGCTGGCAAAACTGGAGATCCATTTGCAGAAAAATGAAACAAGATCTGTACCTCACACCATATACAAAACTAACTCCAGAAGGATCAAAGACTTAAATGTGAAACCTAAAACTATAAAGTTCCTCAAGGGAAAAACAGGGACAAATATAGGGGCCCTAATATATGGCATAAATAGACTATCAAGCACAACCCAAAATGCACAAATAGCAGAAGAGAAACTGGATGAATGGGATCTTCTAGAAATTAAATTTTTATGTGCTTCTAAAGACTTCTCCAAAACAGTCAAAAGAGAACCTACAGATTGGGAAAAAATATTTGACAACAACATATCTGACAAGGGATTTATCTCTAAAATTTATAGAAAACTCTAACACCTCCACAACAAAAAGACAAATAATCCAATTTAAAAATGGGCTGAAGACATGAATAGACACTTCACCAAAGAGGATACTCAGGCAGCCAACAAACACCATGAAGAAATGTTCACAATCATTAGCCATTAGAGAGATGCAAATCAAAACAACAATGAGATACCATCTTGCCCCAGCACTAGTAGCAAAGTTCAACAAAACAGAAAATAACAAATGCTGGTGAGGATGTGGAAAGACTGGGACTCTCATACACTACTGGTGGGACTATCAAATGATATAACCATGGTGA